GTAGGCAGTAATGCGGGATATTTCTAATTTGTGACCTGAACTGAAGCTACGGAATGACTTGGTTCATTAATCTGTTTGGGTTTTTTTTTCCTTTCTTTTCTTTTCTTAGTATTTTGGGTTTATATTGTACAGAACTAAGCTTCCAAAAAACTGTACGGAGCCAACACAACTGTCTTCACCTTTAAACGGAGTTCATGATCGTGCCTATGTCTCTGTCGATGGGGTAAACATTGTTTGCTGGTATTCATTTCTGCTATGAGTGGCCTTCACAAAAGTCATGGATACAGTCTACCTTTTCTTTTTTTCTAGCTTACCAAAACAAATTTATTTAGATAATTTTATTTAATCAGATGAAGGAAGTATACAGTTGATTCATATTAAATGTTCATATTAGTATTTTAGAAAATACGACTATTATTTCTAAGGAAAATGTAATTGTTTTTCCATTTTTGAGATATTTGAATGTTGATACAGATTCATGACTTCGGTGAAAAATAAAAAACCTAGAAGAAGAGTTTAATTGCAGGTTCATGAATATGTTAATGATATTTACGCTTGGTGGCTTTCTACAGTGTTTCCATAGATTTTTTTTTTGCCTTTTTTTGCCTTTTTTTTGCCTTTTTTTTGCCTTTTTTTTGCCTTTTTTTTGCCTTTTTTTGCCTTTTTTTGCCTTTTTTTGCCTTTTTTTGCCTTTTTTTGCCTTTTTTTTGCCTTTTTTTTGCCTTTTTTTTGCCTTTTTTTTTTTTCCTTTGAGGGTGGAGGGGAAGTGGAAGCCTTGAGCCTTATGAAAGTGGCTTCTGACCACAAGTTAAAAAAAAAAAAAAAATAAAAGTTTATAGTACATGATATGAACTTTACCTTTCCTCCCTTAAGCAGGGTTTTGTTCCTACTTAATGACAATTAATATCAATTCATGGACTTTGATAGCCTATTTTTTAGTTATTCTTTGACTTTTGCTGACTCTCACCACCTTTGTTTCCATTTCAAACTCTTCTTTCCTTATGTTGTGGGAATGAGAATAAATAAAGCCAAATATTGATGCAAGCTTAATTGGAAGATGAAGCCCCTTTTAATCACTGATATTGCCAAAGACTTTTCAGTCACGGGACTAAATTTAAGAACTTGCTTATGAATCAGGTTTATCAAAAATGCTAGGGTTGTAACAGTTGATTGAGCTAGTTGAATTCAGCTAAGGAGAGAGAGAGATGTGTCAGTTGGACAAATGCTGCCTAGTGGCACATCCAACTGATGTACTAAAATGTGAATATTGACATAGCAGCTTTTTGTGTGTGTGCCCGCATGCAAGAGGAGGAAAGGAAAATATTTTTTTTTACTTTCTTGTTTGTTTCCTTTGTCCCCTTTCTTTTCTTCATGCAAGTTAAAGAGACAAATAACAGGATTTTGTTGGGTTTCAATGGTTATTGTTTTCTTCCTCTTGGTGTAATTCATATAGGCTCCTCAAGGTGTCCTTGAAAGGGACAAATCACTTATGATAAATATAACTGGGAAGGCTGGAGCAAATCTGGACATCTTGGTAGAGAATATGGGCCGAGTCAACTTTGGTAGATACAATAATGACTTTAAGGTAAGTAAACAATTGACTGTGGTGGCTTTTCCTCTTTTCCACAGGTTAAAAAGAAAGTAGTGGGTTAGAAAGAGCAAAAGTATCAGGATTACACAGCTGTAGCTTTACCTCGAAATATAACTACTCACTAGTTTTCATTTGAGTTTTTCCAGTCACTGAAATCAAAGTGAAATTAAAAACTGATAGACGTCCTTCAATTTTTTTTTTTTGTTGGTTCACGTATGTTGTCAGCCAAAGTGTCGCCCACAAGATTTCCAGGTTAAGTTGAGTCTGTAGCTAACATTTTAAAATGTACAAAGCTGTTTGAATAAACTCTGAAAATGGGTTGGAAATCAGTCTAGATCTTGGTCGTACTTCAAGGCTTGTGAATCCTGGGGTTGTATTTGTGTGTATGTGTGTATATATAGTTTTGTATCTCTTTCCATGTCACATTTAATTTGTCAGCAGCGTACACTTGCAATACTTTCTGTGTGGCTAGGAAAGGCTGTCTCGTGAACACTGTACCGTGCAAAATTGCCAGTTCAGATTCGGACTGATCAGGTGTTAGAGATTATTGTTGGAAAGCTTCCGAATGCTTCTGGGTCCAGGCTACGCTTCGGGACTGTCACCTTCCCGCATGACTGACTGTGGCGGGTTGACC